TCATATATATGAAGTGAAGATAAAATACAAAAATAAGATGTAAAATTATATGAGTTTCATAAAACTGACACACTAAATACCATACCCGCAAAGTTCGTAAAATAAATATTGCAGATATGAAATAGATGTAAGACATTATAGATGTAGACTGAAGATTAATCACATATGGAGACACCATACAGAACATCTGCAGGACCTCGTTCACCGTTACTCTTGGTGTTCTGTAGATAGTATGAAACTGAAATAAAATGTCTTTTGACACAAAATAGATCTACTATAGATGCATGATACACATGAAATAGACCCCCCCCCCCCCAAGAAAAAAAAAACTTTCTGCTACAAACGCTTTGATTACTTATCACCCCCTGCCCTTGCCGGCCACGAACGGTCTCAAAAACGTTTCCACAGTCTCCGGGCTCACCCCTTCAACCTCCCGCAGATGGTGAAGGGCGAGGAGGGAATCGACAGCTGGATGGACATCTCGGCGAAGGACGCGGATGAATACATAGACCTCGGGGAAGACTACAACTGGGCCGACGGCTTCGATACGCTTGTCAGCTATCTTGAGGTTAGAGAATGAAGAAAAAAGGGGGAAGAAAAAAAATATATATATGGCTGATGGGGAGAGGGATGAAATATTGGAAAATGTGTTTGGTGTGTATCTTTTCCTTTTTTGCCTTACGCATAATGAAGTGGGACAAGAGGGAATACATATTGAAATGTATGCATAATATGTAATGTACACTTGATGAATAAAAATACAAACGGTGATGCAAACAGAATGGAAAGGAAACACACATGTGTTATATACACCGGTGTATAGTTAACATTTCGTTTTTATCGCCTGATGGAGAGTCTCGTCTCAACAATAAATTTAATAGCCAAAGAAAATATGAACTTCAAACCAACGCACTTAACCACGAGAAAAAAAATAATGCCTTTCTCTCCAACTTGCAGGAAAGTATTCCAGAGGGACACATACGCTTAAATTCCCCTGTATCACGTATCCTGTGGAACGAGAGTGATGACGAAGTGGAAGTGATGACGTGTGATGAAGGAGAAGCGTCCTACATCACCTCTGTCGTGTTGGTCACGGTCTCCCTCGGGGTTCTGAAGGAGCAGCACCAAAACATCTTCAGGCCGAGGTTGCCAGAGCCGTTTACGAGGAACCTGCAGGTCGGCGGAGGCTGTTTCGTGCCGTGTTTTTTTTCTTTCTCTTTCTCGTTTTCGCTTCTCTTTCTCTCTCTCTCTCTCTCTCTCTCTCTCTCTCTCTCTCTCTCTCTCTCTCTCTCTCTCTCTCTCTCTCTCTCTCTCTCTCTCTCTCTCTCTCTCTCTCTCTCTCTCTCTCTCTCTCTCTCTCTCTCTCTCTTTCTCTCTGTCTCTGTCTCTGTTCTCTCTCTCTCTCTCTCTCTCTTTCTCTCTGTCTCTGTCTCTGTCTCTGTTTCTCTCTCTCTCTCTCTCTGTCTCTGTTTCTGTTTCTGTTCTCTCTCTCTCTCTCTCTCTCTCTCTCTCTCTCTCTCTCTCTCTCTCTCTCTCTCTCTCTCTCTCTCTCTCTCTCTCTCTCTCTCTCTCTCTCTCTCTCTCTCTCTCTCTCTCTCTCTCTCTCTCTCTCTCTCTCTCTCTCTCTCTCTCTCTCTCTCTCTCTCTCTCTCTCTCTCTCTCTCTCTCTCTCTCTCTCTCTCTCTCTCTCTCTCTCTCTCTCTCTCTCTCTCTCTCTCTCTCTCTCTCTCTCTCTCTCTCTCTCTCTCTCTCTCTCTCTCTCTCTCTCTCTCTCTCTCTCTCTCTCTCTCTCTCTCTCTCTCTCTCTCTCTCTCTCTCTCTCTCTCTCTTGATAATAATGAAGATAAAGATAAGGATTGTGAGAAATCTGTCTCTCTGTCTCTGATTATGATGAGAATATTAAAGATGATAATAATGATGATTATAAATAGTAATATTAATGATAATAATGAATAATATTAATACTAAAGATGATAATGATGAATAATATTAATACTAAAGATGATAATAATTTCGATGATAATAATTATAATAGTGATAAGGATAATAATAGTGATAGAAATGATGATTATTATAACTATGATGCCAAAACCAACAATAACAGCAACATCCTTTTCAACCTTCCCCGAGCAGCTGGTAGACCTCGGTGTAGCCAACAAGATCCAGGTGGGGTGGGCGGCCCCGTGGTGGGGATCAGGCCCTCTCGAGCTCTTCATTCTGTGGACGGCGTTGGATCTGGAGAGGGAGATGGTGAGCAGATGGTGGCTTTTTCCATGCTTTTTGGTTTGTTGTTGTTGCTGTTTTTTTTCATTCTTTTATTTTCCTATCTTTTCTTTTACTTACGTGTGGTAGGTAACTGTTTGTTCCGTGTGTTTTTCTTTGTGAGTTCCACGTATGGTGAGCAGTATTTTCCTGGTGTCCAGTCAGTTGTTGTGTAAGTCCAACGGATGAGACGATTATGTCGACCCACTTGTATTTTTATCTTATTATATCACAGGTATAATATTACTAATTACATTCCCTCTGATTACGATCTCGAAGAAAGAGACCGCATACGATAAGTGTTTGTGTGACTTCAGGCATATCTCTCGTTGTTGTTGGGTACCTAATACTACCATCACTGATAGTGTGTATTCATTCGGCAGCCTCCTCCTTATAACTCACGCTTGATTTAAACTCTGCATGATGTGAACTCTGCTGAGTGCCGCCTAAACTGAGTGTGCTCCTCTTGATGTCAGGGAAAAGTCTCATACTACCGTTTTTCCAAAGATACATATATTCGTCGGCTGCGTCTGTGGATTTCCGTTCAACCTCGGCCAGTGAACAATTACCACTTATTTACCCCTGTGCATTGAAAACTGAGTATAGTCCATTAAGTCTGGATAGACAGGAAGATACGCCTTCTCCCATTGTATAACCACATGGCTTGCAGGGCTGTTTCACGATCGAGAGTGGATAATAATATCTGATTTAGTCTGAGTAGTGATGTTTCTTCTTGAGTTTATAGTATTTCATGATTCGCAATTACGCTTCTCATTTATCATTAATTACATCAATACCAGCATCTGTGATCGGAGCGTTTAAATTGTATTCAGATTTACTAATTCTCTTGAAATAAGGGGAACAGGTTAGCTGGAAAGGCTGTGTCACATTTAATAATGGATGATAAGATTTCATTCATAATTTGAATAATAGTATTTGTTTTTTTTTCTCAGATTTACTGTTCATCAGCTATAGTTACTTTTCTTATAATCTTTCAATTACATTAATATCGACTGGTCACACAGTCAGTGATCATGATCAGAATACGGATAGCTTATATTTGCAATTTTATTCACTCATAAAATCACCTTGGCTTTACCATTAATTTTGCTTTATTGTTGCACTGACCATGGTTGTTGTGATGATTTCTGCATCTTAGAAGTATCACGTTATTCGAAACGATTTTAATTGCAACACTGAATGATGAATTCGACGTAGCATAAATATTTCTCATCGATCCTTCCTTTCACTATTAATTTTATTCTCAGGACTGGCTCTACGGTATTGTGGCTGTCGAGAGCGTCTACAACCAACCTTCAGTGCTAGAGATGTTCATAATGGGAGAAAACTCTCGTAAGATGGAGGAACTGCCTGAAGATACTGTCAGAGAACATGTGTTGTCCTTACTGAGAAGAGTGACCAGACAGGATGTTCCCCGACCGACGTTTTTTAATAGGTAATGGTGGTTGTGGAGCTATTATATGTCTTGGGGGCGTGGGTGTCATGCTGTTTTTTTTGTTTTTTTTAGCAATATATGTATATTAAGTATGAAACCATTTCAGCACGTTTTTATCATATATAAGATGTAGTTACAACCATTGTCTTGTTATAAGTTGAACAGAATTTTCAACAATACCCCCCCCCCCCCTGCCAGGACGACGTGGGGCAGCAACCCCTGGACTCGAGGCTCCTACTCCTCCTTCGTCACCGTGGGGGGAGCGAGGGCCGGGCTGCTGCGGCGGGAGGCGCTGGCGACGCCCATTGCCAACGCCAACAGGAAAACGGTAGGACGGGAGGCGGCCTCATTGTGTGTACAGGGATGTATGAATATATAGTTGCATGCACGCGCACATACAGCGTACACACCATATCCTAACATCATTATCTAACCCATACTCTAAAGCCATGTCCCCACACCATTCTCTGGCAAAATACTCAAACAGCATATTGTAACACTCTGTCCTAATACTACTCTCATCGCCGCACTGTAACACCATCGTCTCAGTATTCTCACTATTCTCCGACACCATTCTCAAACACCCTATCCGAACAGCACTAAACCCTAACATCAACCGTTGATTCAGTACTCTAATCATTCCAGACACCATACTCAAATCATCCTAACAACACCATACCCTAATATGATTCTCTGACACCATATCCCCAGCACCATCTTTAAATCCACCATTCCGTACCCGTTGCAGGTGCTGACGTGGGCAGGGGAACACACGCACAATACTCGCTACGGCACTGTAGACGGAGCGATGGCCACGGGCAAGAGGGAGGCTCATCGGATACTGAATATTCTAAATGCTAATTAGGGATGTTACTGACTGGTTAGCTGATATGGATGATTAGCATTGCTGTTGTTATTAGTAGCATCGTCTTCATCTTTATTGTTCATCATCTTTTTTATCTTCAGGACAATCACTCATCACTATCACTATCAGTAGAAAGATCATGTTCACAGTCATCTTCACACTATCATTAATATCAAAGTATATGAATTTCTGATGATTATATTAGCACTAATTTCTCTTTTAAAAACTTACTGTTCTTTTCTTTTTTGCTTCTTGTTAATCTGATTAAAAATGTTATATTGATATGTCTCTTGGCATTATGTTTTATGAGAAATGGGAGCATGTTTTACTTTTAGAAATATTTTTGATAAAGTCATTAAAGAAAGCAAATCAATTGATTTTTTTTATTTGGTATAATACAACCTGTCATTTTGCTTTGTAAATAAAGTATGAACAACGATGAACAGGAGGTAACATGAAGATGATATGAAATGTATTGCCCGAAAAAGAAGAAAGCACAGATATTCGATGAAAAAAATGTATTGGCCTTAAAGTTGCAATACGTTCATATGTGATGATAGTTAAACTATAGACTCTATTGAAAACCATTCCTATATATTCGCTAACTCCCAAAATCCTAGCACCGAAGACACATTTTGCTATAAGGGCGGTTTAAGACTGGCATTGGTAAGTGAGTCGCTCCAGGTCAAGCCAAGCCGGGTCGGGACGCTCGGAAGACCAGCCCCGCCTCCGCCGAGTACAGGCATCTCCTCAGCCCGGCCTCGCCCCCAGCTCGGGCTTCCCGAGGACGCACCAGGCTCACCAATGTTAAGATGGGTTCTTTAAATTGCCAAGAGGATTCTATGAAAACAGCTGCACTGATAATAATGGGTAATACAGATGATTGTGACAACAATGATATCCCAATTAGATGATAATTATAATTTAGATGGTATAGAAAGGGTTAATGGGGATGATACATGTCAAATAACGAAGAAAAATATACCCTAATTACACTAAACTTCTGACACTTTTATTCCTATGAAATGGTTTCAGAAATATTTACGAACTTACGAACTCTAAATAGCAAAAATGCATTATGCCTACCCTGTTGATATTACGGTTACCCAAGCGCGTTTATTAAAAAGAAAAGAAAAAAAAACTACTTCTGCTACTCACACTGGGTCAAACAAGTCAGACCTGAAAAAGTAGGCTCCTTTCGGCCAGTCATCTCATCTTTCACCTTGTTTTTTTTTTTTTTCGTTATTCATTCTTATATAGAGACAGCTCTTACTTTCATTTCCTTTTTGTTGGTTCACCTCTACCCGATCACTTCGCTAAATTATGAGTTACTAATCAGGTTAACTACTCGCAGATAATGGAGAGTATTGACAAATTGCTCACTAAGTGATAGCAACACATAAGCGACGGTTGCTCTTTGATGTGACGCCAGCGTGGGGAAGCAGTGATAATGAGATGATTCACATAGTTTATTCGTAATGTGTTAATGATTACGTATATGGAAATAACGAGATGACGTGCACACATACACATAGAAACACAACACACAAAACACACACACACACACACACACACACACACACACACACACACACACACACACACACACACACACACACACACACACACACACACACACACACACACACACACACACAAACTCACACGCTGACACAGACACACCTCTTACATACATGTATAGATAATATATGCATACATACATACATTATATACATATATACATACATCCATGTACGTATGTATGTCACAGAATATGGAGGTAAAACTACATCGCCCTTTCCATTCACGTTGGACAGCTTAAGTGAGCGCATCCAAAGGAAACCCGTAAGAAGCATAGACCTTGGCATCAGGAAGTCATTTCACACCTACAAAACCCCGTCCACGATACCTCCATATCAAATAGCTCAAAAGATAATATCTAAGGAAACCTGTAAAAAAAAAATATATAGAGATAAATAAAATCATGCGATTGGTGGTGTACGGCGCGAACGGCAAAAAGATAGATGTATATGAAACTAGTCCTCGTGCTCTATATTCATATTAAGGGTTGGCACTATGTGAGCATCTGTTTTCTAATTACTTATGCCATTAAGTGCAGCACGATACAGGTGTAGGATAAATGCTTTCAAGTAATATAAACGTTATCTACCTCTTCTATACACAATGCTATACAGTTTCTGCTAGAGGGCCACTCCAGTTATGTTCCTCACAGTACGGTTAATAAAGACATGGTTACGCTATAATACGGTATTATCTATATAGTACACGTTTTGATTGGTGTAGATTTTAATAACGCCACATAAAACCATTCGCGAGATATGGATGCATCTCTGGCTGTCTCGCTTCTCAAAATTCATTCGTATCGGGAGGGAGATTCCGCTGCTCCCTGTGATACGTCTCTGATCTGGACGTCCTTTTTTCTTAACTTACTTACGATAACTGGTTCACTTCATGTTTTCCTTTAATTTGGTGTATTTCAAATAGAGGAGTTTGGAACTCTAGCCTTCTCTCCATACCCCACAGTAGCATTAATCGCGCAACATATTCCTCTTAATATTTTTCTCCTTGTGTGTGCTTCATCATGTCTGTTCTGTGATACCTGGTCCGTAGGCATGCAATTGCATCCACCGTCTTTTTCCTCTTTTCTGAAACCTCTGAATGTTCATTCATCCACACCCGGAAAACATAGGATGTGCATTTGCTATACTTTTCCTATTGATCGTTCGGCTAAATCCTCACGTTAAACAAGTCTTTGTAGATACTTGTTTCGTTTTCTGCTGCAAATGTTTGTTTTTATTCTAGTTGTAATCCATCCATGGAAGCATTTAGTCCATTCTTGCTCTTAGTTTGTCTAGCACTCATCGTCTCTAAGTTTAACAATTGTTTCTTTATTACA